TTTTTCCTAAAAGTAGTAACAAGACACTACATATAAATCTGAAACTCACAATTAAAATCTTGTGATTATAAGGGTATGAACAAGTTCAAGAGGCAGAATTTCACATTCCTATCACTAGTAGCCTAGGAATAAAGTCTATTTAGAAATTATATTTCTGGTCCTGCAACTTTGGTAATTTTGGATGATTAATTATCTTCAAGGAATTTTTTTACAAACCAACCTGTAATACTTCATTGCTTTTTAGAATTTGCCTTTCTGTGGAATTAATGTGATTAATTAATGAAATGATGTCTATATATTTACTTGAATATATATATATATATATATTCATTTTGGATGAATACAATTAAGTCTTATAAGTCATCTTCCTGAATTAATTGTATGATATTTTAGATCCTGACATTCAAGTACAATGATTCTGGAACACATTCCATAAACTACATATTAGGCTAGGGTCTCCCGAGTATAAATATGATTGAGACACTTATGGAAGTTCTCAGTTGAGTGGGACAGTCAAATAAATAGATATTTGAATTTGATATATGCTGTAAGAGAATTATAAACTACAAAATAAGAGTCTAGGGCCTTTTCTCCTCCAACAAATGATAAGTACTCTCTGACTATAAGTAATAGTAGGAAGGAAAATAAATGTATATTCACATATCTGCAATCTTGCTTTTACAGCAAACAGGGCACTTTTAAAAACAGAGTAGTCCTTCAAATATTTCTAGTGCTAGTTTCTGAAGAGCATACATACATATAATGTATATGATGAGGAGGATTATAAATCTTACGAAATGATCTCCTTTAGTTCTTTTAAATATTTATAATAGCATATTTGTCTTTGTTAAGTCCAACATCAATGTATCTTCCATTGACTGCTTTGGTTTTCCTGCACATGAGCCATACCTTCTTGTTTCTTTGCATATCACATACTATTGATAAAAATGGACATTAAAATAATACAATATAGGAACTTTAGCAATCAGATTTCCTTCATCTCCCAGGAATAATTTTTATTGCTGTTATTCGTCTAGAAACTTTTCTGACCTAATTCTGCAAAATCTGTATTCCTTGTCACCATGTGGCCATGGAGATCTCTGCTGGGTTAGCTCAGCAGTCAGCAAATAATTACACAGCAAATCCTTAAATACATTGAACTAGATCAGTGATCCATCATTTGCCAAGGGACTTTGTGTGATGGCTAACACCTTTAACACTGCCAGGTTACAACTCTTCCTTAGTCTTTACTTTTTGCTTGAATAGAATCAAAATCAGTTAGTGGTGAGAGATTGGGTCTTCTCAGGTCTTTCCTGGGCATGTGCACAACTTTGTGTATGTGTCTGACCTTCAAGAAATCCAGGTTTATTTTCAGAAGTCAGTACTTTTCAAAGCCATCAATAATGGTCACATTTTCTAAATTTCCCTTTTAAGTTTTCTGGCCAGGGTCTTGTTTGACCAAGTGGTATTTCTAACTCAGGCAGAGTTTACACAATTGCCACTTCATTGTTTGTGACAAATATTCTGAGGATGGGGCTTTTCCCACTATAAGTAAGCTCTAAGCAAATGGGGACTTTCTGGGAAGATATCAGATGGGTCAACAGTAATGATTCCCTGGAGAAAAGTTTTTGTTTGTTTGTTTTTATGGAGCTTCACATTTTGGCTACCCACTCCAGTGGCTTCTACACTGTTGGTTTTCATAGCTACCATGGTTGTTAGACTACTATTATAGAACTAGGGAGAAGGGGACGGGAGTCAAGCAAGTTAAAAATCTACAAAGCTTGCTGTTCCTTAGTGAGATTTAACTATTTTTGCTGAATAAATACTCCTTGGGTTGTTGAAGCCTTTGGTTAATATCCAGAGTTCTGAAAAAGTTGATTCTGACATTTTTTGCTAGTGATTTCATTGCCTTTATGGAGAAGAAGTTAATTTGCAGGTATCTTTAGTTTATCACTCCTGAAGTGCTTAGACTCCATTTTAAAGAATATCAGTATTTGCCCAATTGCTTTTTGGTAAGTTAAGTTTAAACACTTAACCTACCTGAAATTCATTTTAGTGTGCAAAGTCCAGAAAGAAATGGGCAGCTAGTTACAAATATTTTCAATCTTTTCTGGGTTAATTAGAAAGATACTTTTGAAAAAAATAAAAAAGATACTTTTGAGAATCTATATGGATCATTTCTGCAGAAGACTCTGCATATATATATGGTTTTCATAATTTCACTAAATTCACAGTTTGGGTCCCCTTCCATGCAACTCAGATTAACTATAATTTGCTACAGGAATTTATCCTACATAATTTGTAACATTACCTTTATAGATTTATAAATTACAGAACAATCTTATGTCCTTCTGTATTCCATATTCCATCCTATTCCGTTGGTCTGTCTGTTCTGTATCCATAGCAGTACCATAAGTTTTAATTATGCCAATTATCTTACACCTCAGAGCCTTTGTACTTAACTATTTCCCTGCCTGAAACATTCTTTTCCCAACTATTCAAAAAGCTTCTTTCTCAAGCTGCTCACTTCAATGCAGGCTTCAGCTTAAATGCTAACTTCTTTCTTTCTAAGATTTTATTTATTGATTCACGGGAGACACACAAAGAGAGGCAGAGACACAGGCAGAGGGAGAAGCAGGCTCCATGCAGGGAGCCTCTAGTGGTAATCCCGGACTCCAGGACCACGCCCTGAGGCAAAGGCAGACTGCTGAGCTACCCGGGTGTCTCCAAATGCTAGCTTCTTAGTTCTTACCTGACTACCCTATTCATATACTGGTTCCCTGATTCTCCAGACTTTACATTGCTTCATTTAAATTCATAACACTGACCACTACATTTTATTATAGCTTTAATACTTTTTTAATACTTTTATAGCTTTAATACTGTCAGTCTTCTTCACAAGAAGGCATGCAAGTTGTTGAGTATTTTCTTACTACTCTATCACCAGAAATAAGCACAGTCCCTAGAACATAGCGGGCAGTCACTTCAATTATCAATGTGAAAACACTGAAGAGTAAGTTTGACCATGTCAATTGGTATGCCTACTGGCCTAAATAAACAAAAGCTATAGAAGTCTCATATGACTCCCAAGAAAAGTAATTTGTCAATTTTCTAGAGTAGGACTATGAAGCTCTAAGGGGCTAATGGAATGACAATTGTTTGGTTGTAGCTGCTTTAGTACAACTACATGAAAATGAAAGCAGCTGTTTAAGAAAGACTGAATACATTTGACGTTAAGAGCTCACATTTGAAAACCTGCGAGTTAACTAGAAACATTGTTCTTTCTGCTATATATGTCTCTCTTAATACTCTTAGCCACAAAGCAGTTAAACACCCATATACACACCCACACCACACCAACATACTCTCTTCCTCACATGCACCTAAAATATGCAAACATTTGAAAGAAAATAAAATGTGTTTATTCATGTCATGCTTGCATTACCCTTCACAGTACTCTGAAACTGGCAAACAAATTTTAAAGTATATCACATACTGTAGTGTTTTCTGTAGACAAAAATGCTCCTGACAAACCAGCAGAGAAGTATGCCCTTATGATATATATACTTTTCTGTTTGAGTGATGAACATGTGCTGATTTATTCATGCACTCTTGCCCAATTTTCATGGTGACTAATAGCCCACATCTATGTGGGGTTAGAGGAATGGTCTGTGGTCACAAAAAGTTTTAAGTAAACTCTCCCAAATCAGAACTTAACCAAAGATCTTGACCTTACTAGCATAGAATTCCAACCAACTGAACTGACAATTAAACATCTTATATACAATACGTGCTCAATATGTATTTGATAGCACTAACAACAGAAGAATTAGAAAGCAATCATTACTCCCATAGAAAAGAGCAAGGGAATAAAAGAATAAAATCTGTCACTACACTTCTGTTTTCTTACCGCAACTACCTAAAGATCTGTAACTATGTGCTCGGGAATAAATTTAAGTGACATTTTTTTAAAAGTGCGTAACATTTATCCTGGAGGTTAAAAGCGCTGACTTTTTAAGGCTTCATTAAGATTAGCTAATGAATCATAAGAAAATCTTGTAGGTTGTTTGGTAAATGTTAGTCGTTTTATCTACATTTATAATGCATGATTGAGTAAACAATGGTAGGTAGTACATGTAACACTTTAATCATGGAAAACAGAGTTCTATAAATGTTATTTTTTGCTTCTTATACTTGTTTGGGGAAGATTTATTCAGGTATCTCACCGCCTATGTAACAAAAAAAAACTAAACATCTAGAAAATAGAGCCATGCAAATTCAATTATGCAAAATGAAAGTACTGTAGTTTTTAATTGTTCAGATAGGCAGATAAAAGTTATTTTGTATAGGCCATATTTGTTGATATGTAATACTTTTTATGAAACCATGGGGATTATCTGTGAGGTCCTATTATCCATACAGATATATAGACATATACATTAGACATAACTGATGGAATCAAACTGTTTTCTACATATATTATTTTGTATTAATTGTGTGTGTATATTTGTGAAAAAAGGAAAAAAAATAAACCAAAGATTTATATATTGCAATGCTTAACATAAGTTTGGATTCTTTTTTTTTTTTAATTTTTTTTTTATTTTTATTTATGATAGTCACAGAGAGAGAGAGAGAGAGAGAGGCAGAGACACAGGCAGAGGGAGAAGCAGGCTCCATGCACCGGGAGCCCGATGTGGGATTCGATCCTGGGTCTCCAGGATCACGCCCTGGGCCAAAGGCAGGCGCCAAACCGCTGCGCCACCCAGGGATCCCTAAGTTTGGATTCTGACTTAAAAAAAATAATAAAAAGATAAGATTATAAGTTCTGGATTTTCAATATCAGTAAATAGAAGGTACACTGATATATTAAAAATATTAGTTCAAAATATTACTCTTAAAGGCAAAATAATCAATAGCCACTAAGGTAATTTTAAGATAAAATAAGGAAATTTCATTTTGAGCAAAATAAAAAGTACTAACGAAGAGTTAATTTTACTAACCTGACTTATTTTTCTTTGTTCTTGTATAGCTTTTTGAATTGCCTGAGATACTTTTTCTTGATCTTTTGCATGCTCAGTCTTCCATAACTCCCTTTCTTCAGCATGGGCTTTTTCCAGACTTTTTCTTTCTTCTTCTATGGCTTTTAAAACTGCATCCTTCATTGCTTCTTTCTCAAGCTTCAAAACAAATAATGACTCAAATGAAAACATCTGAGTGAGTGACGACATAAGTTCTTGAATAAGAAAGATTTGGGTTAATCTAAAAGGTACAAAACTTGAATTCTATAGGGCTTAGTTCTGACACTGTTGTTTTTATGTGTACTTAATAACTGGTGTAAAATCAAATCAATTACTTATGTTTGTGCAAATATTCATACATTATTCCCAAGGCACATCTAAACTTCACAGAAACCAAGCCTTAGCTTAAAGTAGCAGTTTTCAAACTATTTGATCTTAGAATCTCTTTACATTCTGAAAAATTATGGTTTACTTCAAAGAGCTTTTGTTTATGCTGGTTATACATATTAGTATTACTATATTAGAAAAACCAAGACAAAATAAAAAAATATTAATTCATTTTATAACATTAAATGTACTGTATATTAATGAGTAATATATTTTGTAAAAATAACTATATTTTCCAAAATGAAGAAGTGAAAAGAGTATCTGTGAACCTCCTTAATATTTGACTTAACAGAAGACAGCTAGGTTCTGCATTAAATCTATAGTATGGTTTTTGGTTTAAGTACATAAAGAAAACTTAGTCTCACACAGATATGCAGTAGAAAAGAGAGTAACACTTAGCAGCCAGTTTAGATCTTTGTAAATACTGATGATACCATACCAAAACCTAAAAAGGGGTAGTTCTTAAAGGGTAGTTGTGCTAAGGAAAATCACACAGTGGCCATAAGATTTTTGCCTTCTGCCACTTTTTCTTTTCTTGCACTTTTAATGAGTCCTTTATGTATGCATGATTTTTTTTTTAAAGATTTTTATTTGGAAAGTATTGATTCAGTAAGTTATGCATCTCCTCCAGATGTTGACACATTTCATTATATCATAACAAAGACGAAGGTCACATTTGTTAATATCACCATCAATCTCATCAAAAAGGTCTTTAAGTATCTGAAAGCAGATACACATTTTCCAAAATTCTAATTTTGCTTTAAAGCTCAACTTTTATCATTGGCAACAAAAACTGTTAGTTTTCTGGAGATACTGGGCTCACTCTGTTTGCTTTGGAGAAAATGTCTGCCAAATACTAAAGTCTGCATAACCCTCATTATTCAGTAAAATGGTTTTCCATGAAAACTGTTGAAATAAGAATTTCTCTCAAGAAAACCATCATATTTTGGGATGCAGTAAAGTCCATGGTCTTCCCACTTGTGATGCCTACACTTTTCTCTTTCTTCCAGTTAGCCACATTTGACACAAGTTATCAATGCTCAGTTACCATTTTCTAAACTCCTGTTTTACTCTACAATTCTTCTCTGAAACTACTCTCTTACTATGTGCTCACCAATGCTCTCCATTTCGTTAAATCCAAATAATATTTTTTTGTTTCAATCACTATTTTTCTTGACATCAAAGTTACATTCTACATAGTTGACTATTTCTGTTTTCCTTTTCTTTTTTTGCATAACAACCTGCTGCTTTTATTTTTACTTATATGGCTGACTCTGTTCAGTTTTTTTCTAACTTCCTTTTTTCTCTGGATTTTAAATTATGGAGTGGCTCAGATCTTACATCACTTGTTACTACTCTATACTCTCTGGTGAGGTGATTTACATAACAATAATTTCCATGGTTACTATTACCACCTGTCTGCTGAATAAAATAAACCATATTAGCATTTTCAGGTCATTTCTTTCTCTGAGTTGCCAGGTTGCCTACTAGCCTTGTTATCTGAATAGATCACGATCACCTCAAATTCTATACCAAACAAATAGTACCACTTTCCATGTTGTTTCCGAGGCAATACTTCTGGGGGTTCCCAATCTGGCCTCCTTCTGTATTATCCACACCAAAAACAGATGCTGATTCTATCTTCTCCTATTTCTAGACTTTTGTCTATTTCTTTCCTTTAAACTATTACCACTACTTTATTTCTGCTACTCACTATCTTTTAACACAGACTTTGGACACACTCTATTAATTCTTTCCTTGCCTCTAGCCTTTCTGCTTTTAATTTTCCCCAAATTAATGTAAATTTTAATTATGTCATACCTACACTCAAAAATTTCGATGTGTCTATACAGAAGTACTATCCATATATGTATGATAATTTAATGCATTCCACTTTCCTAATTGGTAATAAGTAATACTTATGTGATTGTAAATTCTTTAAGAAAAAAGTCAGTCATCCTTCAGGTTTTACCCCTGGCATGGTGATTTGCAAATACGAAACTTTCAAAATATTTGCTCACTAAATTTAAATCTAAATCTCAAAAGTTAGTACTATGTATGTATGTGTTGGCATATGTATATTTAATATGTATGGATAAACTACTTAGGTATTTCAAAGTTGGCTTTAAAAATCACATATCTTTTTATAAATATATATACACATACACACATTATTTGTGATGATGCCTATTAATACCAAATGCTGAGATGCCTGGGTGGCTCAGTGGCTGAGCATCTGCCTTTGGCTCAGGTCATGATCCCGGGGTCTTGGGATCAAGTCCCACAATGGGCTCCCCACAAAAAGCCTGATATTCTCCCTCTGCCTATGTCTCTGCCTCTCTCTGTGTCTCTCATGAATAAATCAATAAAATCTTAAAAAAAAAAATACCAAGTGCTTACTAGCGTCCCAGCAGATATTCTCTTTTAACAATAATAATCTAAATATGTGGTATTTCGATGTCATTCTAGTCCTGCATAATGTTAATTTAACAATAATAAAGATAGATAGCAGCATCCTAAGTTTAACAGGAAAAACAAGAAAGAAAACAACTCTTTGATTTTTCTGTAATGAGGCTTTATACACAAAAAGTAGATTGACTATACCACTGATGAACTCAGTTTTTAAATTCCACTTACTTACAAAGAAACCCATTATTACAGATAGAAATACCTTTGCAGCAGATACTAATGCCTCTTTATTTCTTTGCCTTTCTTCTTCCAAACATTTTTCCAGTATATCCTGAAATGATAAGACAGTTGGGTAGACAGTAAATGTATTATTTGAGGTAATTATTTGAGGTAATAGAACATATTCTTTCTACACTCTGAACAAACGTCAAGTATTACCTTCTGTTCTTGAGATTGCTGAATCAAAGCTTCCTTTATTTTTTCTTTTAATAGTTCCTTCTCTGTATCTAGCATTTCAAGGAGTCTCTGATGCTACAAGGAAAGATAAATAATGATTATGGCTCTGAGACCAATAATCTATCAACAAGGAGAGCACTGGTGGAATTCATTTGCCTGGTTGTACTGAAGTAGTCATTAGAGGAAACAATGGGTAGATTGCTAAAACTAAGACTTACAAGAAAAAAAGCCACTGAATTCACCTTTTGCCAGTCAGCCAAGAGACCTTTTTGTGGCCCCAAACTCAGTTAAGTATATGACACAGGATCTAACTTAAGCATAATTATTCCAAATTGGAAATGAATTAGAAAATGATAAAATGTCTTTAATTAAAATTAAATTTAGAAAAACTACTCACTAAAATTATTAATTTGGAGCAAAAGAAGCAATTAGATAATAACAAATGTTTATTTGATGAACAACTATCATATTATTTGTGTTTCTAGTAGAGCACTGTTAAAAAAAAATGCAAGACTTATTATTATTCTCACTCCAAGGCTTTACTATAGATTCAGAAAATAATCAAAACAGTCAAAGGAATTTATGTGATAGCTAATGTTACAATATGCAGAATTCATGCATTTACTTTTACTGCAATGTGCTAGCAAAAAAGCACCTATAAGCATAAACCAGTTATCATGGATTGGGGATTTGGAATTAAGAGTTTTCTAAGATAATTCAACTTTTGTAGCCTCAATATCTTCAACACAGAGAAGCAAGATACTTGTTCTGGAACAGTGCTCTTATGAGGAAACAAAACAAAAAAAGAAAATATATATTCCTACTTACACAGATTTCTCATTCAGTTACTAAAGGCAAAGAAAAGTATTTTCATTGATTTCTCTGATTTTGAAGCTTCCTTTAAATAGGGACTTATTTGAATACCCAATATTTTAAAATGGATCTTTGTCTTTCAAAGCTGTTCTGAGTTAAAATATCTTTTAGGGAGGCAGTCTACATGAAGAATAAGTGACAAAATAGTCATGTCTAGTTAGGGGAATGTATGATTCCTATTTTTAATTTTAATGTTACTTTTTACCTTTATTTTTCAAGAATAGGAAAAATCACAGATCTTTTTCCATTAAAAACACACCCAAACTGTGATACAAATCATGACTTGATTATGAGAAATTATTGGTACCACATGAATTTGTGAAAAGCAGCTAACACATCAGCAGACTTACCATATGCTATATACTGAGACTTTAATTTTGTGTTCTATGTAAGTCTAGACGCACACAAGTATCATTGAATCAGAAAAAAATTCCTAATCCTACTTAAAATACACACATGAGAAAAAGTTTAAAAATGGTATACCAGGCAAATCATTAGATTTAGAAATGATAAATACAATTCTTGAATGAGGCCAAAAACATTCAATTTAGGCTCTGAGAATAGGAGTAAACATAATGAAACCGAACCAATAAAAACTATTAGAATTAAACTAAAAAATAAACTTTTCAGAGTCATTAATAACTTTGAAAATTATTTCTTCTTAAAAAGAATTGTTATGTTAATAAGTCAGAATAATAGAAATCATTGTCATTGATTGTAAGTAGGCCAAGTTTCTCCAGTGGTCCAAAAACCAGTTAAGGAGGGTACGTTACCTAAAGTGGCAACACAATGTTTAGAAAATTCATTCTTGAACATTATTTCTTCATTCTGACAATACACTATGATGGAAGACTATTTTTGAGTTATCTTCTAAAGAATACACTCAATATTACCATTGGAAAGAAGAATCCTATGTAAAATACACTCTAAGTAAAATCATTGATCTACTTGAGAAAATATAACTAGGTTACTGACTTTTCTTATACATATAGGTAATAAATAGCTAATATTTTTGGAGTATTTTTGAGGTTTCAAGCATTGTTAAAAGAGCTTTACATGTAGTTATACATTATATTCCCAACAAACTGCTAAATCAGGCAATACTCTTCTCTGTTTCAGACGATCTGGGCCTTAGAAAAGCTATGTAAATTGCCAGGTCTCTAATGAATCACTTTAGCAATAATCATATCAGTATACTCATTATCAACAGGAATAATTACCTACTAACTAAACGTGGCCTCAGTTTTACCTACATGTTACGCAGTAACTAAAAGCTTCTTATTAAAAGTTGTATGTCAGGTAAAGCCTCATGCATTTGGCTTTAAAAGAATTTTACTAATCTATACTTCTAATTTTGTTCTTTTCAGAATAACATTAAAATAAGATCTTCTTCTGAAAAAAATTAATATTAGGAGAGAGGATTCAGAAAGATACTGACTGGCATGTGAGAAGTTAACTCTTAAAATTAAATAGATAATTTATAAAATGAATAACCCACAAGTAGCTAACCAAGAACAATATAAACATAAAATATATTATTTTTATAAGAGTCTCATATGCTGATTGTGAAAAATGCAAAGTAGTAGTGAAAATCACCCAGAATTTTATCACCCAAAGGCAAACATCCTTCAGGAGGGCTCTCTATATAAATATACAGCTCTACGTAAACATTTTATATAATAAGCTTATAACTAATATAGTGTTTTTGAACTCGAGTATTATTTCTATATAAACATAATTATGGTATTATTTTTATTACACTAATTATACATTTCACATGTCCTATTTATACATATTTATGTTTACAATATTTTCCTTTTAAAAAAATCTTGATTTTTGTGCATGCATCTTGCCAACTTATACAATTATGGCCTTGTGAAATATTCCTAGGGGTGGAATTAGGTTGATGATCGAGTATGGTTTATCTTTTGGTGCATGCCCTCAAACTATTCCAGAAAGAAAATGCCAAATTACACCTTAGCTAACAATAGTAGGACAAAGGACAGGGCAGATTCTCCTGGAGAATAGGCTCATTGACTGGATATCAACTAGCCAGGGACACTGTGCCACTGTTGTCACAGGGATACCAACAATACTTGGTATCTATGAGCCAATCATGGCTGTTTATTTCATCATTCTCCTTGTTTGAAAACAGGGATTTTTGTTGCATCTTTTCTGTTCTTTCTCTTCTTTTTGAATGCACGGATTATAGTTATGGGGGGGGGGGCAAGGGCCCTTCTATTTCCACATTATCTGTTTCTTCAAAGCTTTTCTTTTTTTTTTGGTTTGAGTCAGGAATTTCTCATTTAGGATGTTTTTCCAAAATTTAGTCATGTCTTTCAGTCCATGCATGCTAATATCTCAGACATGAAAATGCTGGTAGGAAATTCTGTGTATGTGGAGGAGCTTCATGAGAACTGCAAAAAGCTGGCTTTTTTCATGGTTATGGTGGCAATTCCCAAATGTCAGGTCTATAAGCACCTTCTTCTTAAAGCTGCTTTTTGTCTACCAAAAAAAAAAAAAAAAATCCCCAATTTTCTCACTGGTATGATATGCTTGAAGGGGGTGTAGATAAAAAACTGACTGGTAAAACAGATTTTGGTTTAATCTCTCAGTTTTGATTCCCTGCCTTACTCCTGCTCTTTATGAGGTCAGATTTTTGAGTTTGATTACTCCTTTGCGCTACTAGGATGTATAGTTAAGTATCTGAATAAGAATGATGTGCATGGAGACTTTCAACCATTCCTCCTGCTTTTAGAGCTAAACAGCCCCTCGTGCACCTATTTCTTAAGGCACTCTGCAGGACGTATGGGTTTCACCTCAGTAGGCTAAGATTACAATGCTTTAGCCACTACTAAGTCAGTAATATTTGCCTGTATCTCATCCCTGCTAGTTTGTTTTTGTTCGTTTTGGCCCCTTTTACTATCATTGTGTGTGTGTGTGTGTGTGTGTGTGTGTGTGTGTGTGTTGTGTGCACCATTTTTTTTTTTTTGTGGAGGAGAGGTACAGAGAGGTAGAAGAGATGAGTATTCACCATATTTATTGAGATTTAGAATCACTTTTTAAAGCACCATGTTAGAAACTTTACAAGTATTACTGTGAATCCTCACAACAACCCAGAAATGTCTTATTAGTTACATCTGACAGATTTCCAAACTGAGTTTCAGAGCGGTTATATAATCTGCTTACATTCATGGGGCTAATTAATAATTAAACTGAGACTGGGGCCCAGGAGGCCTGAATACAAAATCCACAGATCTTTATACTAGATTCTCTAGAATCAACATACAACTAAGGGCTCTCTCTGTTCCATCTCTATGGACTGCTTCTTTGACTGAGTTTCAGTCACACATTTTATACTCTTCACCTAGGCTTATAGTTATTTTTTGGTCACGGTATGTCTCTTTCCCCCTACTCCCACATCTGGCCCCTAAAGGGAAGGTAACAGAGATGGCAAGGCCACACAAACTTAAAGGGAAAAACTCATCCTTGACAAATAAACTTTTTTTTTTTAATTTATTGAGGTAGTTGTAGGATATTTAGATAGTTGAATCTCTCCCATTGGAATCCCAAGAAATGTACACAGTGAGCCAAAAACTTTACTCAGCAATCAAAGCCTGTATCAGCTAACGCATTTTCTTTTTCTCAACAACACACATACTTTCAGGCAAGAGACTTTTCTGAAAGAATAGATTAATATTTAAACCACAATGATAAAAACTGCATTATGTATTTCTGGAAGATGAAAAAAAGGTATTCTTCAATTACATTTATATTTGGGGGTATCTCCCTGGGAGGTAATGTACCTCATCAGAATTAACATGGATATTGGACTCTTATTTCCATAGTGTAGTGGTTATCATGTTTGCCTCAAACATGGGCATTGGAATCAGACAGATCTGGAGTCAATCACTAGTTTTTCACTTATGAAAGCTACAACTTAAATTTTTCTAAGCCTCTTTTTTGTCCTTTTATTATGTAAGTAAGGCTAGTAATGCCAACCTCACATTTATGAGAATTAAGTGAATATATGTAATGTATCTGGAACTCAAAAATGTTAACTAGACTTCTGTCAAACAGCTGATAAAAAAAAGGAATAAAATTCACTTATGAAAATGATTTTTTTTTGTATATAAAAGAAAAGATTAGTTGCTGCTCAAAAGTAAAGACCTTAGGGATCCCTGGGTGGCTCAGCGGTTTAG